TATTCCGGCTATAGTAAGAACTCAGGAATCATTGTTTTTCCTGACACTACATGCAACAGTTCAATCATAATATTGACAATAAGGCATCTTTATTTTCTTCTGTTCCCCGATACACATTTAACTCCAGCTAGTGAATAAAAAGGTGTCTTCAAATTGGTGGATGAATACACTTCGGATAAAAAAAATGGTAAAAAAAACTTCTCAGCTTTACATCTAATTTTTCCTTAAATACCTCAGAGATTTCGCTTGACGCTGGTTTTTGAATACCAGATGTTCAATACATTATTCAAAGAATAAACTGGAAAAATACTAGGAGACAAGCGTGATTGGTGAGTTAGAATGTTTGAGCACCAAAAACTACTTTAAGAGATCGGCGATTCAAGGTAAAACTTTTATAAGAATATATAAGAAAGTGAAAAGTGAAATATGAGACATGATAAATATTATCTACTACAACGGCTTTTATTAGATACTCTAAACATATGAGAGGCATAATAACGACCCGATACACTTCAAGATAAAATGTAGATGACAAATAATACCAAAATGAGATCGTGCGTGTAATTAGATGATGAAGCAAAATTATATGCCGCCGTTCCATTGCGTTACATCCGCGTCCTCAGCAGACTGAAATAGGTGATAGAAAAAATAATTAAATGAGCCCAGAAGCTACAACAAATTACTAAGATCCCTAAATGTGTGCATCGTCAAAAAAAAAAAACTAAATGGCAAAACCAAATGCGAAGAATTATGTCCTCCATTACAAATACGACCACGTAGCCTAATCAACGACATGACGATATCCCACTCAAAAAGAATGTGAGAAAAGTTGCAGTTTTAATTTGCGACGAGCATGAAGTAAGATGTGTAACACAACATTTAGGTCAGTTACACCTTTGTAGTATAATCTATAGATACTATTTTACTAAAACAAAATATACTTAAATTTCCTGATAGCTAAGCCACATCCCATATGATGCAAGAGAAACGCTTGGCGTCGCTTAATTCCATTAAGAGCACTGTTATCTCTACTGTACACATCACACTCATCTAGCCTGCCGCTTATCTACTCTTAGGGAACTTACCCGTCAACACATCTTAGGTTCAACTCCCCAAATTCGAAGATCTATTGAAACATTAAGATGTTCAGTTTTTTGCAAAGTGAATTAACCTACACTTTCAGGCTCGATCTTCCTCCGGATCATTGAGTTGTTCAAATAATGCCTTCCCTCACCAGACAAAGCTTCAAGTTCCTCATCGGTAAATGGGAAGAAACGCGGTGGATTACGACGGTCTTCGTAGCTGAATGACTGATTTCCACGAAGTAGATGTCAATAAAAAAAGCTATCAAGTCTCACATGACTCACAGAACTGCTATCCATGTATCCTTGATGAGGATAGAAAGTGCAACTTTATCTGGTTCCGACCCATCCAAATTGATGATAAGAGAAGAGATCCCATCTAAAGTATAAATTAATTGAAGCGAAAATAGACGGTCGAACTTGGACTAAAAATAAACTTCCTCGCAAGTGAGATACATAGCTTAAAATTTCAAGTTTAATGCGCTTGATGTCTAAGTTTATACAAATTAAACTGCAATTTGAAGTGTCATCTAGCTGAAAGTTGCAATTATACGTTGCTTATTCGTAGATTTAGGTATGTTGAACTACCTCACCGACAATCTGTTCAATGAGAGCACTCGGATATTGCTTTTTCTTCGCATCCCTTCTTACACCCGGCTTAATCATCGTGTACTGCCCTCGAGCTGCATTTGAATGTATCTAAACGAATACAGGTGCGGAGTAACATACTTGAAGGTGCTTGTACTTAAAGGAAAATTGAAGCAGTCTCCGGCAAAACTAATGATTGTTAGCCCTCTGATCAATTTATTCTCCAAACTGAATAATTCGTCGTAATAAGCGTCCCTTTTAGGTCGCTTCGTCCACTCAGCGACTTCCTCCCCAGCACCGCCCGTGTTCGGTTTCCGCTGAAAGCAGTGCTCTCTAGCAAAAAAAGCATGCTATCGTTGGGCCAAAAGACGAAAATTTAACACTGCCCCTCTGCCATTCGTCCCCATCAATCCAATGAAGCCCGCAATTTTT